CCTTTAATAAGAGATTCATTGCACGACTGGAAATATTATTTATCTCACAATTACGGGCTGGAAAAACATTATACCTTAGCTAAAAGTGCGCATTTGAGATCGAGAGCCGATTTCAGCGTCTACTAAGTTTGACGTTTTTTAATGAAAGAGAAAAGGGAAGTTGAAAAAGCAAAGAAAAAACTAATAATTTACCGGTAGGAGAAAACCATCAAGATTCAGGATGTCACATGGGATCATTCAAGGTAGTACCAGGTCTAATGCTTACAGAATATTGGACAGGCAAAAGAGCAGTCTGATTGGCTGACGTTCTTGGGCCTCCTAAATTTAATAAGTTGTGCACGTGTAATAAAAAAAAAGGTTGAAAGCATTGAATAGTAGTGGGCTTAATGCCAAGAAAATATAGACTGTGATTCGGAAATATGGACGTCATGGAAACATCAGAGAACTTGGAAGTAACTCGTTTATCAAAGGATGGTTGGGATTATTCACAGGAATATTCTACAGTCAAGTGGGTGAGCTCCGTTAATTGATATTGCGAACAACGCAGAATTACATGTATTGGAATGAAATGAACCGTTGAGTTTCACGCCGTTTTAAAGCCATTTCCGCACGTGTTACTGTTTTCCGTCCTTGTGATAGACAGCCATGTACTTCGTACCTCAAACATAACAGATGTCAGTGTTATGCGAGAGCCATCGTCGACGGCAATCTTCCATTCACAGTTGGCATCATCAGGGTAGCTGGAGGGAAATCTCGGGCTTGTGATTACTCCAGATTCAGTTGTTAGATCTCCACCACACTGGCTCCGAACTGAAATAATAAGAATACTCGTAATTAAAAAAGAAACAAGTGGAACTGCTAAACGAAACAACCCGGAGGCTGTTTACTTTCTGAAGACCTTTTTTTCTCAGTATTAACCTAGCCTGTAATTTCAAACACCTCTCATAAAACATAATATCGTTTTCAAAAAAAGTGCCAAATAGTTAAACTGTTCAATCAATCAGTCTTCATTTGATCAGCAGATAAAACAGGTACTGCAAAATTGCTAAAAGCAAAACTTAGCGGGCATTTATTACCGGATAACTAAGGGTGTATTCACACTTGGTGTCCGAGCACTGGTGCCTGGGTACCGGCACAAAATAGTGTTGCATTCAGACAAAAACAACGTGTACACCACCTAATATTACTGTATTTCATTTACAGATGTAGTAAAAACAGGCATCTGCTAAATTACTTTCCGAGTTCCTTATGGCAACTTTAAGTATTTTTTAAGTATTCTCTTAGCACGATATCAGATATAGCTCGCTAAAACAAAAGATGATCATCCAAATCTTATGCATTTCATATGCACACTAAAATCGCAATATGAAATAGAAACAAAAAGTGTAGGCACAAAGAAATGGAAACCTCTTACAGGATATATGAGGATTTAATTAATATTTTAGATCACATTTTCTATACCTATCGGTATCCATCTCCTACCCATTAGTGTATATTTCTAATCTCCTGTCAGATACATAACTCATTTTAACCTTTAATGTACTACATGCCTTTGGTCTGCTTTTTATGTGTCAATAGTACAACCTCAAGCTGTAATGATAACTATCTATTTTTCTTCTTTTTTTCCTTTGCCCCTTGTCGTCACTTTATTTGTTAGCAGTGTAAGTGGTGTAACTGTATTTGTAAGTAGTGTAAGTCGTTTAGATATTCTAATTTAAATAGTGTAAATAACAAGAGCAATATAATGTAAATAGAGCTAGTGTTGTAAGTAAGCATTGTTTTCCCTTGTGTTATTGCAAGTT